AGGCTGTCCATTTTGGCAACCTCTTAGCCTAGATTACGTGTTAGACGACGGAGGGTCAAGCAGGACCAGCAACAGGGTTTTCAAGCAGAAAGACACATTCAAGATTTGAGGATGATTGTCAAGGACGTCAGGGATGCCTTAGGTAGTTTGAACATCATGGACGAGATAACATTCTGTAGCAAAAATGGTATTACAATTAGTTTTCAAAGAATTTTTAATATTTTTTTTAATTTCGAAGATTTCGGAAAAGTTTATTCAGTAAAATTGATGTTTTACCTGATGTTTCTTAAGTTTTTTTTCCATCTCTCCGGGCCTCTACTGATCATAATATTGGGATTTAAGACGTTATTTCTGGCACTTCTTGGATGATCAAACAAGATATTGTACAAGTTAAATGCGCCGAGAAAAACGATGGCAATATAGTTTATTGTCAAGGGAAACGGGCGTGCTAATCAGTTTTCTATATGTCTCACGGACGTCTTCAGAAATTCATTATATTTCCTAGGAGAAGAAGAGGAAGGATAACCTTGACCTACTCGCTGTGTGCATTCTACAGTAAAACGTGCTCAAAGGGGAACGTGTATGTGGAAACCTGTCTAATGTACAACGTGTGTCTTTGTCAAACATAAACTATTCAGTGCATAACGCAATATCTTACGTAATACGGAAATGAAACATTGGTCCCTGGAGGTTCCGCATTGAGCAAGTTTTACTGTATAATGTTTTAGACAAACCTGTTCGCGAAGAGAATGCTGCGAACGTTTAATCACGTAACGTAACGTGAAGATAACTAAATGTTACATTCATTTTTATTAAAAACAAATACTGAATCTCTGCTAAGAACCAGCTGGCACCGATATAGATAAATCTGATGTATCTATGTGTATCTTTTAAATATCAGCTTTAAAAGTTTTTGTAGACATCCCACAGCTTTGTTTAGATTCGTGCTCCTGTTACATAAAAGTGAGTGGATATGGTTGTATGCGCCACAAAAACTTTCCTAGAATGAATCACAGAAAATTCTGGAGCGATTGCTCTCAACTATTGTGATTGCGACTCAACACTTAACTCAACACACACACACACACACATATATTTTAAATGCAATCCGTAATACATCTGGGCAGCCGTGTGAAGGAGCAGGTGAGGCAGAACGGATAAGCGACTAGAGCGAGAGGATCGGAAGAGCAATGCAGAAAAATCAAACCTGCACTTCGTTTACCGTTGCAAGTATTTTCTATAACTCTGAAACGAAAATGTCTAGTTTTTCTCAAATATTGCTAATCTCGTGCTCTTTTAATTTTTATTTTGATTTATTTACCTTTCACTTTTACTCATATTTCAACTATATATAGTTAAAATGATGAGAAGGGATTCTGGAACTGAAAAAAACGTGCGCAGATGATCTTCTCCCCCACACGTCACATACAGTTTTTACTGATTTTTGACAAAATAAATAAATAAATGTAAAGAGGTGAAAGGAGGAGGAGGAGGAGGAGGAGCGGGCGCAGCGGACGGCGGAGTGAAGGCCGAGTGGAAGAGAAAGGGCGTGGCGGAAGGCGGGATACTGCTATGGGTAAAAGACAAATCAGAAGATTTCACGCATTAAAAACCCCTCATAGGGAGGGAACGACAAGCACATATATTTGCACGGCATGGATGCGAGTCCGAGACGGAGGAAAGAGATCGACTGGAATTCGACAATACCTTACGAAGATCCATAAATCTACAGACAAACATACAGATGTCCCGACGAAGCAATCAAACTCTATAGGTCCGAGTACGGATGTTTTCAAAACATCGTTCATCGATGTGTTAATACCGATGTTTTTTCTTTTCCAATGTATTCTTTTCGAATGGAAAAATCCCATGGTCACAATATATATAAAATTTTAAATATGAAATAATAACTGATCGTGATGTTCATGCGATGGAACTAAAGGAACGCTATTTGCACTATCTTCATCGACAAAACACTCTCGCCCGAGATGACATCTGTGCCCTTCCATTTCCTCTTTCTTCATATTCATTTCGCACATTGAGATGAGGTCAACAAATACGTACGCTATAGACGTAAGGTTTGCCCCTTCTTCTGGTACCCTTATTCGGCGAATTGACAAAACCGAACACTGTCAAAAGTAAATATTAATGCCCATTAATTTAATGTTAGAGATTACTAATCCAGTCTAAAAACATCGATGGTTTTAGTTGATGTATTTTGAACATCGATGTTTTGTTAGCGATACGACATCATTCGGTCCGAGACGGATAAGGGGAATTGGAGGTGTTGTCACCAAATCGAAAACTCTCGTACCCAGACGCCACAAACCCGCGTAGGAGATTCAACGAAAAAAAAACAACTCTCGAGTAGGAGGGAACACGGCATATCCTCACAGGATGCGCGAAGGAGTGGGCGGTGCTGAGACCGCGTGGAAGGGCGCGGAGAGGGGAAGGGCGGCGACGTGTCTGCGCCGGCAGCAGCGGCAGGTTTCGCTGCCGTAATTGGGTTTGTCCCGGTTAATTTGGGCCAAGGATTGAGTTTCCAGAAAACACGCGTCCGCGAAGCTAACTCACTTGGGGCGGGGGCGTTGGCGGCAGTGGCGTCGAGAATCCTCCCTTCCCCATCCCACCTCGCCTTGTCTCGCCCCGCCTCGCCCCGCCCCGCCCCGCCCCGCCTCGTCCGCGCGAAGTACAGGCGGCGCCCAAAACGCTGCGCCGTCCGGCATCGCCAAGCGCTCCAGTGCACTCAACGGCGGATCACTCAACGAAGAAACCGTACACATTATTTATTCTTTTTGGAATTTACTGAGTTTATATTTGTATTTAGCCTTTGTATGTCCCGCAAAGCGCAATTGGTCTCGGCGCCGTTAGATCTCGGGGTTTCTAGTCGGTCACCCAACCAGGAACCCGCGATGTCTCGAATTCGCTTAACCTTCGTGACTTCGCGTAGTTGACGGCTAGCGACGCCGGTTTTGCGGTCGCGGTTTCGGCTGCGCAGTCTTTTCTGTAGAACCATCCCTGCATTCGCCTGCATGACTGAGGGAAACCACGAAACACTCAGTTAGGATGGCCGGCAAGGGGATTGAACCCGGGCCTTCCGAATGCCAAGTCATTCCCTGAGCCATTTCGCTCGGTTATTAAGTTTAGGTCACAACAATAAATTCTTTAATTTGCTCATATTTAAGCATTTACTATTTTTTACGCGATTTGATGACAAATATGTGCGTTATCCGTCGCAATTATCGCGGCTCACGATTAACCAGACCACATTTTGCAGCAACCTGCGTTTGTACTCTACTCTGAAGTACCATAACAAAGAAGAAAAGAAATAGCGCCCGAACATATTTGCATTCTCATGCGGCACTAGGCCTTTCTCTTCATCTGGAAACGATTCTCCATACGGCAGGTAGCGACACGCACTAGCCCAAAGACGCACCCTTATCAGGACAATCACAAACAAAGGACAGACTGGAGGGACGGGATGCGGTTAAACACGAAACTTGCAAATATGCACATAGAACTGGATGGGACGAATGATGACACACAAAACCGGAACGGATGCGTGGATCCCTCTCAGGCCAATCGCAAAATGAGACGCAGGTTCGTGACATGACGCAGTGTGACTCACGCCGAATTTCTCACGGCAGGGAGAGCCACAGCGGCAATTACCGCAAGATGGGAAGCAGGTCTCAGGCACAAGTATTTCCGCCATGTTAGTGAATTTTGAATCTGAAAGAGACTTCGAGTCAGAAACGTGAAGTTACGCAGGTGTGTTGGAGCAAAATAAAGAAAGAAGTGAGTACATGAAGAAAAGACGAACTCATGGAGACTTTGTTCCAAGGATTTTGGTCATGACAAATTTCAGAACAATTTTAAATTAGACCGAGATCAGTTCAAATAAGTGATTGATCTGATGGAAAACGAAATTTCCCGAGAGGTCTACAACGCCACAAGACCCATTGGAACTGAGGAAAAGCTAGCAGTGTTGTTAGTGTCTTTTATAGTATTTTAGTTATCAATCGTATTACTGCATTTGTATGCAAATGCATATATTGTTTGCCAATGTTTTCTAAGAAAATTATCACATTTCTTCACGAATCAGCCCATTTGGAGCTTTCCTGCCAATTGTTTTCTTCACTTTTTTACGTATCTGAAAGTTACTACATATTTCTGCACTTTCAGCGAAATTTTCGAAACAGTAAGAAAAACATGGTAATTTATTAAAATATTAGTGAATAATTAGCTAATTTTTAAAACGTGTACTAAATCAAACTTCTTGAAACTGATGAATTATAGTCGCACGTTTTATAAAACACCTCATTATCTTTATTGAACACCTCATAAAGGTTTGTGTCATATATCGAACTTAACGAGCACGCACGGCTTCAATACGTTTTTCTTCCATCGGTGAAACTTCGCAGGAAACCACGCGCAGGAACGGCGCCACGATACCCTGCGCTCTAACGTCCCATAAGCGTAGTGGTTCGCAGAAGCTCACGGTGGGTCACCCCGCGTCGTATCACGGACCTGCGTCTCATTTTGCGACTAGCCTACTCCATGACATGGATAGAAAAGAGAACGTTGGTTCTGTTTGGTTTAGACATTGAACACCTAAGGACAACCGCTGGGAATACGAACAAAGTACAATTGATTACAGTAAGGTGTACACAAGAAGAGAATGGTTAATATGTTGGTGAAAAAAATATGATTCTTAGAAGAGAAATAAATGAACTGAGGTAAACAATCATTGAGCATTGGAATGGAAAAAATGCATTTGGAAGTGGCTAGAGGAAACGGCGCTGGAAGGAAAGTACAGAACTTCTAGGACTATTTCGTTCACATTATGTGACAAAATTTTCACATATTTCGACAGGTTTCTTTATTTGAGTGCTATCAACTGGCACACAGACTGGGAGTTTTAAGACGGGAATAAAGACGCTATGAGTGCAATTCTGGAGGGAAAACTACCACTTTATTGGAGCAAGTTAGGATCGGGGATTTCAAACCTTAATGAATTTAATAAACAAAATTAGTACACTTTTATTAAAATACATCTTGTTCCATTCGTACATCACAGTCAAATACTCCATGTTCACCGTTCCACATTCTCTAAAAAACAAAACACACTTCCTACTACTATTCACAAAATCATTAAAATAATACTCAAGAAGAAACTGCCATAAACACAACACTTGTGAGACAAGCAATATCGAACATAAAACATTAAAATGGAATGATATAAATCGGGCAAATTATTTGCAGAGAACGAAATAAGGTAGAGCTTGAAATATGATATAAAAATGTTGACGCACACAATCGGCATGCCAAATATATTTCCATCAAAACTCGAATACTGCTACCATGAAACATGATTCAGAAGAGCATATGCGAAAGTATCACGCCTGTGGCAAAGCTGATTTCAATTATCCGGCAAAAATGCACCGAATTATTAATTTATAAAATAAAGTGAAAACTTTCTGACAACATTGCGCCTATCACAAGAGGATATCATTGTACATTGACACAAGTGTCGTCATTTAAAACAAATGTAAATGAAAAATATTTTCATATCACGGGTCTCATGTGTTATAAAAGATACGATCAATAGCAATCTAAGACAATTAACAAGTTTACCGAGGGATTACAATCACCGAAGATAATGAAACGAAGCAAAAGTGGTGAACGGACACAAAACGTAATGAATCAAATATAAATTATGATAAATATTTATCTTCCAAGAGACTGCATAACCAGACATCACGGTATTCCAAGAGAAAGAAAAAGAAGTAATCATAAGAACGAAGTTCGGCAACATGATGCTGTACCTTTTCACATATTTTTTCCTCAATATCATCCCTTTCTGTTACTGCAACTCGTGCATTTTGACTGGTCGCCGCACTGCATTACTGTATCCCTCTTTGAAGTGGAACCATATTGGGCTCTTCACTATTTCATCGATCTTGACCGCTGCAACAAGAAATAAAACAATATCGTATGTTACAACAGTTTTATAATTAAAATTTGTCTGTCTGTCCTCATCATATATATTATATAATTATATATATATATATAATATATATATATATGTGTGTGTGTGTGTGGTGTGTATGTGTCGTGTAATTAGTTATATCTAATTAAAAGAAAGAAAACACTAATCAAAGCATTTAGAAAAGGTTTAAGGTACTTCGCTTAACACTGTCATTAACATTAATACGAACAAAAAGCAAAGTGGAAAAAGAAAACCTATGAAAAGAAGGAAGAAATATATTAAGGAAACAGTAAATGCAGAGGAACTATACACATTTCCAACAAGATAACCGACTATTGTATTTTTGTTACAAAAACAAATCACAAATATCATTATAAGGATGATATATCATTTTAACAGAAGATTAAGAAAAAAATAGGTAACTCGAAACATGTTTAAATGAAACAACAGCAGTAAAGAACGTATTAACATAACAAGAGTGTACAACTAGAGTGAAAGAAAATTTTTTTTATGTCTTAAAAATATTGCAGGAATATATATTACCCTAGAAAACTTACAAATCAATGCATAACTGTAGAAAGGGTGTGTAAACTTTTTTAAAGTCTGCAAGTAACTGTATTTAATTTTTACAACAATTTGTAATGGTGTTTCAAGGAAATTACAAAATTGGGAGAAAAAATGTAAAATATAGGTTAAAAAATACAAAAGTTGAAACTTTTCACTTCCTTTCAATATTGGCCTCCTAACTCCAAACGTTTCTCAATTTGTTCTGTTCTTGGTGTTAATAACAGATTTGCATACAATACTGCTTACTATAGAGTAAGTGTATGGAGTAAGGAATTGCGGATTCAAGATAAAGCTTTCTCAAGCGTTGCATTCATTTTAACATTCTTTTTATCAATATAAATAATAAATAATAATCAAATATAAATAATATAAATTAATCTTCAATCCGTGCATTTTTACAGTGGTTTTTTGAACAGTACAATCTAAAAACATGGTGGTTCACTGAATGTTGATCGTATCGAGTCGAAGTGTTGTTTCTTTTGGTTGTTTTGTTATCACAAAAAAGGAATTATAACTTTATTATATTTATTCAAAAAAACATTTTATTTCAACTATTTGCATTGTCACTCTTAAGAAAAACTATTTTCAAAATACAGGACCCCTTACCTATTTTACAAATTTTGATTATACGCAACATTTAACGAAGAATTAATCAGACTCTGCCCATGAGATGTGTGAATGGGTTTGTTAAGATACCAGGAAAAGTAGAAGGTGGAAAGGTTTCAATTTCTCTAATAAGGTCGGGAGCATGAAAATAAGGAACTCAGTGTGTTTTACTTGAGATGTGTCGAAATTCATGTAATTAAAAGAAAAGCTAAATCCAATAAATTACAACGTGGAATAATAAAGAGCTAGAAAAATCGATTGTGCTAATTATTCGCCACATCTCCGGCATGGCCTATTGGTTAGAATACCCAATTCACCCGGGAGACCGACTTCAAGTTTCGGTGACTTTTCGGCATTTTTTTGATACTGTAGTTTCGTACATCAACACTTACGGGACTAATGGCATTGGCAGTTGACACACCTGAAAACACCCGAAGGAACGAAGTCACTCGTAACGTGTGGCGTCCGTTATGAAAAGTGATCCGTCCGTTAAGTACACGCGAAAAAAAGGTGTAACCACAGATGGCGTATGAGTACTATATTCTACACTATTCAAAGAAAACGTATTTCTTATTTTTACGGATTTGTTTTTTTCAAAGAAGCTAATATTATGAAAATTGTTGACCTACACATTTTTGATCATATCATCAACATATCACTACGTTCTTGGTTCACTACCTTTAATAGTCTCTGTTATTCGCTCAGTATTGACCCAAAAACTTTAATAACTGCAACGAGTTAATTAATGCTCGAACATCCAATACAACAATCGAAATCAATATTATGAAACCATTCAAATTTATACCTCTAACCAATAGAAAATTCTCATAAATATACCATTACCAATCTTTACTTGTTTCATCTCTATTCTTTAAGGTTATAAAAACGCAACCTATAAATGGGCATTCTTTGTTTGCTATTTCCCTGCGAAAAAGACATGAGGGTGCAGTCACGCTTTTCAGATTTAAGTAAAGAGTAGAATGTAAAATTCCGCCATTTACTGAAGTCGTATAAAAATTATTTAAAATGTATTATTCGTCTTTATATTGTAATGCACGGAACAAATCACTTATGATATTTTACATATCAACCAGTCTAAATTCTGGCCTTGCTCCCCGATAGGGTTTCTCGGCATCCGCTATGCGTATAAAACACACGTGAGAAAAGGTGGTTATATTTAGCGCCGTTTGTCACGTAGTGATCGCCTATGAAGAACCGGCAGGTCTAGTGGCTAGGATACCCGGCTCTCACCCGGGAGGCCCGGTTCAAATTCCCGTGCCGGAAAAATTTTTAACGTCCCTGATCGTCAGAGAATAAGAATTGCAATGCATAGCACAGGAAAAGAATAAAAATCTCACTATTCATTGATTAAAAAAATACCTCTGGCATACGCATCATTTAAAGGTAAGTATTTCTCTATGAAAATGACATCCTCCGAAGTCCTCAGCATGTTAAATACGGGTTTATTAAAAGGTATTCGTGTGTTCATGTTATTTATCCTACACGTGCTCGGTGCAAAACAACTGACTAATATTTCTTGACTCTTAAAATAAGTCTAGATAAGGCATTATTTTGGTGTGCTTATTATGCTTACCTTACGCGTTATGTTTCTCTTACAGAAATAACGAATAAATGGTAATAAGAAAAATTATTCTACATTGGACACCACTCTCAAGAATTCAATTTTTCAACGTGTAGAAACCAAAAGTTCAATGTAGCTGTCGAGAGTAACATAGGCCAACAAAAGTAGTACGCCATCAAGGATGAAATGGTATGCAATGTATTGAAACACGACGGAGATGTCAATACATAATCCATCATCATCATCACCACCACCACCATCATTATCATCATACCACCTCAATCAAAGGCCAAGCAGTAATACGAAATATGAGAAGAGTCCATCCCCAAGTTAGACATAAATGACTTTACATTTTATTAGAAGTGCCTCACGAGATACTGAACAACAGGTTTTCGGGTCCCAAGCGATTGTACCTGCCACGAACAGACATGAACTTACATTTATGCTTTGCCTATTCATTTTTCTCAAAGGCGCCTTTTGCTGAGAAGTCGTTTTCATATAAGAACATAAGTATCAATGAATAAAATTTTACACCTTTTGAGTTCCTCGTGAATGTCTTTTGTTTCTGTCATTCCGGCATGGTCTAGTGGCTAGGATACCCGGCTCTCACCCGGGAGGCCCGGGTTCAATTCCCGGTGCCGGAAACTTTTTGTCACGTTAATTCGCGCCTTCAGAATAGTACAATGAGGTAGGGCAATTCATTCCACATTCCACTCTCGTGTTCCAAGCATACTACTAGACCCAGCCACTTTAGGCACATAATGTAAGGAAAATAAAACATTGTACAGGGGCAATTCTTTAAGCTCACTTCATGGAAAGGCAACCCGTCACCCCCCCCCCCCCCTCACAAACCGGCGCTGCATCTCACATTTCGGAGAGAACAACACCGGCACCTCCTAGAATATAACACGCACTACACTTACGGGTCTAAATACCCGGGTAGTTGACACGCTCGGATCCATTCCATTGCATTGCATTTTATTTCATCGGAGGACGTGCGATGAACAGCTGCCGGCTGCTGAACAAACTACGAGGCAACTCCGACAAGCAGACGCGCACAGGCCGTAAAGTAAGCGCAGTAACGAACCTGATGAAAAATTTAGAGCCGGCAGATTCCGTTCTAAAGAGTTTTTCACGCGGGGTTGCGGCAAAAGACGCGCGTGTTATCCCGGAAGGCTATGATGGAAGGGAAAAACTGACACACAGACCGATACAACAGGGGCCTCGTCGTGCTCTTCTCCTGGCATCGCGTTGCCCACCTCTGCTCTTGTCGTCGCGTGATCGGTGGTAGCGTCGACCGGCTGCGGGCTAATCTCCTCGGCCACCACTGGGGGCGCGCGCGAGCCGTCACGTGAACGTCCGCTGCCCCCCTCCCCCGTGGCGCTGTTGGCACGCCCGTCGTCGAGGGAATCTCCACGCACCTGCGCGAAGGCGAGGAGGGCGAGGACGGCGGGAACGAGGACGGAGAGGGGAATGAGGGCGGCGGGAAGGATGGGAGTGGCCGGGGGAGGGGTTGAAGACCGACGAGGACGGGAGCGACGGGGAAGGTGAAGATGGGGAGGAGAGCGAGGGCGGCAGGCACGATACGCTGAGGGCACTGAGGAGGAGGGTGAGCGTGGGGTGGGTGAATGCTGAGGACAAAAGCATTCGCCAGCCCTCGTGCAAGCTGACGCAGCCGTCCTCCGTGGTCGCGTCCTCCTCCGTTCGCCGACTGTGCACTACCTTCGGGCTACGTACACTGTAGAGAGAAAGGTACAGGGTGGAACTAGTTGTAGAGGAAAGGGGTAAGCGGCAGATTTCCTTGAGACTGCTCTCATTTCTGTACTTCTCATTTCATCAAGTAACAAGTATTCCACTTTCAAGCGTATTTTACTAGACCATTTTAGGCCGCAAAAATTTAAGTAATAATTTACAGTCACCTATAATTAATGGTGTACGGAATAGTGTCGATACCATTAGTCGGGGCATCATCAACGGTGAAGTAATGGAACTGTTCGACAGCGACGCTGAGATGTATCGGCTGCAGAACACTGCCATTGTTTCGCATCCCCGCAAATTAAACCAGAGCAATAATAATAATAATAATAATAATAATAATAATAATAATAATAATAATAAGTATTATTACATTTATTATTACCATCATTATGATGTGAGCTTTAGAATATGTGATGGATCAGTTAGCCTACAATTTGTATAAAACACTTTCTTGCGTCCATTCTA